CTTGTCTTGCATCAGTGTTTGAGTTTGGGTGCATTCCTATTGCTCATAGCAGTGCAGTCATAGCTATGCATTATGTACAAGTTCCACACACATTAAATCATTAAGTTTCATCTCAGTAATGCAGCCAGGACAATTTCTCCCACTGCATGACTCTAGAGACCTGCAGTCTGATAATGGGCCTTTTTCCCCCAGTTTCTTTCTCACTCACCTCCCCGAGTTTCCTTTTCCACATCTTTTTATTTTCTTCTCTATTTGAGCTTGTGTTGTTACGGTCCATGTGTCCAGTGTGTTGTCAGCCTCTCACAAAGCGCTGTGGTATTTGTGGCCCGTATTGTGGGCATGTGTGGCATGGGCTGCTCAAATGCGCTGCCCACACACTTTCCGACCAGGTCAAACTCTGGACATGTGGTCTGTCTTGCTTGCTATCAGGTCTGCATCTTGCTTAGTGGTGCTCTTTTCCTATCTTGCTTGATCTCGGGGCCTCAGCTTGAGCCCACATTTGACAAAACACAGCTGTGGGGTTTTTTGTTGTTTTTTTTTTTTTAACTTTACAATCATAGTGTTATCTGTATTTTTATTTATTTTTTTCTGTCTACAATATTCATTGGGAACACACCACTCCTCTTTGTGTAACCATGAATAAACTGAAATGGTAAATGGCTGCTTTTTTCTTTGCAATTTCTTCAAAAATGTAGAGTTTGGACATAAAATCCTAACACAGTTCAATGTAATCAAACACAGTATAAATGCAAATACAAATAATTTGTTAAAACTGTGTCAGAGATATGTTTATATACTGGATTATGATATGTTTGTACCTAATTTAAAAAACTGCTATTAGAATGTTAAGGACTTACAGGGATAGCTTGGAAGAAAAAAAACAAACTAATCTGAACGGTGGCTAAATCAGCCAAGTAAGATGACAGAACACCTGGTCAAACATTTTTCAGATGCTAGTGAATTGAGTGATTGCTAGCTAGTTGACATCACTCCTGATTGCATGGTTATGAAAATGTTTTTCAAATGATGAGAAGACATCTTTTAGTTACTGTAATAATGATAATGGCTTAACTCTTACTTTATGAAAAGTGGCATATTGTGCTGTAGGAAAGGGATTGCTCTCCTGGTGATGTGGAACTAGTCTGTCTGTGCATGAGGCACATAGATACTAGAGAGAGATAGCTGAGGAAGCAGGTCTGTCTCTTTTTAGGAGCTCACGTTAATATGAGAGTATGTCCTAGGCAGTATGCCCTAGATAAAATTTAATTTGGCGTGTTCTCGCAGGCAAAACGGCCGGCTTGTGACCTAAAAGAAGCACCACGTTTGGCTTTGATTGTCTCTGTGTGCTCAGGCTGGCGAGCCCAACTTGGCAGAAGAGACTGTCTGTCTGAAAGTCTTTCAACAGCCTCCCCACACACTGATGCCTGCAACTTGTCAACAAAGTCATGCCAAGTGGCTTTGTGTACTTCCTTGGTGTTATACTAGTTTTTGTTTTCATGCTACAGATTCCTTGTTTACTGCTTTGGGGAACTTGCAAGTCATCTCTTCTCCAGCCATGACTTCTAAGCTAAGTAACACCCAGGAGCAGGCTGTTCATGTTCCAATACCTGTTTTTATATGTTGTAGGATGAACAAGATGCACTCAACTAATTCTGCCAAGGTATCAAATTTGAAATCAATTCCGTGTCACACACACAGTCTGTCTTTAGCCCTGTCACAAAAAAACTTTTTACTGGCAAAGAATGCTTTTAACACACTCAATTTAGCTTTGTTAAACATGAGGTCTTTGGCAGGCAGATCATTTTTAATTAACAATTTAATTATCCAGACCTATTTTGATTTTCTGCTTTTGTTGTATAACTTGGCTAGACTGAGATAACTAAGATATTCTTATTGAGTCAACCCTTCCCAATTTTAGTTTTATGAGCGAAGCTAGAGTGCATAAAAAAAGTAGGTGGAGTTGCCATTTTGTTTATAATTCTATCCAGTGCAAACAGATGTCTTTGAAATAAGAGTGTCGCAGGTGGCGAAGTACAAATCTCCGGGTGCATTATGACATCTATAAAGAGTCTATAAAAAGTTGATCAGACAGCTGCAGCTGTAGTCCTCGCTAAGACCAGGAGAGTGAATTGCATCACTCCAAATCTCAGATCTGTACATTGGCTTCTTGTTTGTCACAGAATTTTTTAAAAATACTACTGATGGTTTATAAAGCAATGTATAGTTGGTGAAAATACCCCAGAGTCAAAACTGAACATTCACTTTTTATGCACTGCTTATCTGGACCAAAATCCTAGAAAACTTGAGACAAACTCTGTTTTTTTTTTTTTTTTAAATCAGGGCTTAAAGCTGTTTTTTGCAACTGCATTTTATTAAGTTAAACTTTTATCACACTATTAATGCACTGGTGCACTGCAAGGTGGCTCCACTGTAATATTTGATTTATCTTATTCTATATTAGCTTATTTTTATCTTCTATTTTGTTTTATTCTTTTCAAAATCCTATTTACCTATCTTTAAATCTTGCCTTGTTTCTTTATCTTCCCTTAATGCCTTTCTGTCTCATGTAAAGCACTTTGCCTTGTTGTTGGAAGGGACCATACAAATAACCTTGCCTTGACTTGTAGAGTATCAGTAGTTGCTTGCATCTCCGTATTTGACAACAGTCTAAATCTTCCAGAGAGAGGGTGCATGGGACTCTTCTGTTCCCAGCTTTGCCACAAAATATTTCGAATTTTTCTCAATTAACATCATCTTATGCAATAAATGTGGTGAGCAAGTCATAATCTTCAAGATTATGCAGCTGGAGGACTTGGTTTTGCTCCAGTGCTTTCCAGTATGATATGCGTCTTAGAGGTAATCAGCTGAATAGGTTTTCTGTGGGGTTTTATGGGCCTAAAAGGTAGAAGGGAACATGAAAATATCAAAACTTAAAGATATATTGATCAATTGACACAGATTATATAATGTTCCATCTTTTGTGTGTGCGTGTATACCATTGGGAAATGCTTAAAGTTGGCCACAGTTTTCCTGCTTGCGGTACTAATGGCATGATATGATGCACTAATTTAAAACTGCCATTGACAGCAGACTGACTGTGGCCAGCATTCAGACATACTGGCAAATGTCTGCTTCTGCATGAGCTATCTTGAGGGAAAGCCTTTGCAACTTTAAATCTTTGTTAATCCATCGAGCTGTGAAATTTGAGATGTTTTCAGTTGCCTCCTTTTCATATCATTTAACCTAGAGGAGAAGCCATATATTTGCAGTGTTAGTCTCTCATAGTTTGTATATCATAATTACTATGCCCTCTGGATCTAAACTTTGCCCTCAGACTGTTGTTTACTTCCTAGGTCCAATCTATACTTCTGTGGCAAGGTGTGTTTGAGTTTCAGAGAGTATTTTTATTTTGATATTAATATCAGGATATGTAAAAACTTGTCATAATTTTAACTGCAATTTTGTTTGCACTTTAGCATTTTGCATAGAAACACGGAGATAGGTGTTAACCGGTTGTTACATTATAAGATGCATACATGGTGGATATTTTACAAGCATGGACCCGGAAATTTGGTCTACGTCATTAACAAGCCTTCCCCATATGCGGCGCACCTGCTACTATACAGCACTAAAATATGGTGGAGAGTGAAGTAGACCTACTAACCTACTAGAAAAAGAAATATACCCTGCTACCCTCCGCCCAGCCTGCCCTGCAGCCGTCTCCACATATACACTGTGGAAAAACACTGTGTCCTTTTTTGCATAAAGGAAAATAATAGTTTTTGGATTGTGTTTAGCTTTCTTAATAGTCGTGGTGTAGTTTGACATTTGTAGAAAGGCAATATTGCTAAATTACTAAAGAAACATATCTACAGCTTAGTATTGTTGTCCAGTGTTACCAAATCCCGCGACTTTTCAAATCACCAGTTGTCATTCACTTATTTGTCTGTCCGTCTGTGTTTTGCTATATAAACAACTTCTAAATTGGCCTGATTTTCCTAAAACTACTAATGGGCACAACAACCTAATTTTGAGAAAATTAAGCAATACAAAAATTGCAGCGGCCGAAAGTTATTCTACCATTAAATGTTGAAAAATGCATTTCTGCGCTTGGCCAATAATGCTTTAATTTGTCACTTTTGTAGCTGGCCACTATTTCTTCCAGTCGTACTGTGATTTTGGAGAATCAGGAGATAAAGTTCAGTTTATGTCGCTATTTTCTTACAGATTAATTTAAAAATATGTCCTCCATGTGTTTGTACTGCTTGTGAAAATCTAGTGCAGCTCTATCCTGTTGTCCCTGTCGGAAGGATGTGGGTGTTTGTGAGCTGGGGGAATGAAATGTAAGATGCCTCTAAAAGCGTGTGACAACAGCTGAGCAAGCCTGTGTGGCATCAAGCTCATGTTTAGGCCAAACTGCAGTTAAAAGTTCTCTTCTCACCTCACTCCTCCTTTTGGCTCTCTTCCTCTTAAGCACATTTTTTTCTTCTTTTCTCCTCATTCTTTCCATTTTCCACGTTTGTTCATTTAGCCTTCAGTTTTATTGCTCTAAAATTGCTGTCATTCAAGCCCTGTCTGTAATTAACATAACTGTAAGTTAAAGCGCTTTGAACTCTCGTTACCTGTGAGTACAAGCACATCCATTCTACAGTTACAGTGAAGATTCATGCTGAGACACATTCTCACAGTCTGATATGTGGTAGCTGTCTAGGTATTCAATAAAGTGAAAACTAAGCACAGTTAATCCAGGAAATGAAAAGTTATAAAGACAGCAGGGACACAGCAAGTCACATGATCAGGTTTATTACTCTAATCCCACGTTGGGATCACAGCTGATGACCTGCTTGTTGGAGTGAGGCCCAGCTGAAGGGGATGAAGAAGACCTTACAGACACGCCTACAGATCGGCCTCAGTCTCCGCTCAGCATTGTTTGGTGTTTTCCCTCACAGTTTAGTTAACTACATGTGTTCTGATAGCCTGATTGTCTTTTGTTTTTCCAGAAGCTCTCCAGAGACCAGATACTGAGATTCCAGGTCTGACAGAAGCGGCCCGCTGGAACTCCAAAGAAAACCTGTTGGCAGGACCCAGCGAGAATGACCCCAACCTGTTTGTCGCGCTCTATGATTTTGTGGCCAGTGGCGACAACACACTCAGCATTACTAAAGGTAAGATAAAAATTAAGCCGTTCTCATCCTCATGTATTTATAGTGTAGTCCAAGTAGGAATGATTCATTCAATGACATGTACATCTAGAAAACTTCTAAGTCTCGACAAGGTTATGAACCTTCCTGGGAATCTCCTTATTTGCTTCCCGTCTCCTTCCCCTCTTATCTTCATCTCCGTCTGACTCTCACTTCCTGACGATGGTCTCACACGTGGGTTTTTTCCCCTCTGAACCGACTATAAAACAATACGACAGATGGATCACACAGACAAACAGAGGAAGGAAGGGGGAGAACATATGCACCGGAATAAACAAGAAAATGTCCTCCACAATATTACTTTCAAGTTCATTCTAATATGAGCCAATGCACAAAAAAAGTTCATTTTACTTTGGGTATATATTGCCAGTATTTTTTGTTGCATCCAGTCTAAACTAAGAAAAAAGACATTTCTTAAGTCTAGGTTGGATGACTGGTAGAAAAGTCCCTGCCAGAGTTGTTGACGTGAGGAAACATGACGTTAGACACGGTGAATTCCTGCATGTCTGACTTAAAACGGAGTTAAATTCTAGTGCAGAGTCCATGCCATGGTAGCCTGTTCTTACAAAGAATATGGAGGATTCACAACAGCCCCGCTTGAAATGCTGTTTTCAAGATCGCAGGAATGAGCTGCAACCATTAAGAATGATAATATTAAAGGATGGGTGTGCAGCCAATGAGGTACTTGCCCGGATGGTAATTCAAATTTTAATGTCACATGTTGACTAGGAGAGAAGTTGCGCGTGCTGGGTTACAACCACAACGGCGAGTGGTGCGAGGCACAGACCAAGAATGGCCAGGGTTGGGTTCCGTCCAACTACATCACACCTGTCAACAGCCTGGAGAAGCACAGCTGGTACCATGGACCCGTGTCACGCAATGCTGCAGAGTACCTGCTCAGCTCGGGCATCAACGGAAGCTTTCTGGTCCGCGAGAGTGAGAGCAGCCCTGGCCAGCGGTCCATTTCCCTGCGGTACGAGGGGAGAGTCTACCATTACAGGATTAACACTGCATCTGACAGCAAGGTAGGCTTCGATGGAAACACACTGTGTATACACACCAAGAATGTCTTAGATTTATTAAATTATAAAGGTGTAAATGCTGGTGAGTTTTTGTTAAAGTGACCCCAACACATGCTCCTAAGGTTGATTTTTAAGGTTCATTCTGCTTTCATATATGCAGTAGTGAATGCATGTAATGGCTCTAAACTTCATTGTTTGATGATTGGTTTTTTATTTTTTTCATGAAGGCAGGACGTTACTTACAGCGCAAGCCTGGATCTACCGCAATGTTCTATATCAGCTAGTTGGAATGTAATAACTAATTAATTTAAAGTAAAGATAGCAGCCAGGTGCAGTAACCAAGGGGATAGCTCGTCAGTCGGAGCAGTGCTTTGAGAAATGAGAAGACATGGTATCGTACACACAAACACACACTCACAAAGTGACACTGTGATCTGCAAGAACAGATCAGTGCATTGTTCTGTTCTCTCTTTAAGCTGGCGAGGGCACATTTTTTTTCCATCATTCAGAGACTTCAAACGCAAAGATGGAACTTGAGATGATAATTTTATTATTTTAGTATCTCGAAAATGCTTAAAATTGTTATGAGGTTTTGAACTTGAAATCATAAGTGTGAAGAACAAAAAAAGGTTGGGCAAAGAAGGCAGGGTAGCCCACGGTTTATATTAAGAGCTTTTAAATAATGGGCAGGGTACCCCATCCCGATGGCCATGGCAGATAAGTTTCATCTGTGGGATTCCCCCAAAACTCTGTCAGTTGAGAAGCCGCTGCCATTTTGGCTGTGTCATCCTCCTGTCTGTGATGCAGCGAGGTGAGCTAGATTGAGGAACGCTAGCTATGACAAGAATGCCTCTAACCACCACTGTGCCTCTCATAATGGCCAGCAGACGCGAGGCCCCGGCCAGACGCCCATGCTAAGACATGCATTAGCACAGACAGATGCAGCCAAGTATGCACATACACGGTTTCCCATCTCATACTGTTTTCCATCCTCCCACTGAGCTACAACTCAAGAGTCTGGTATGATAGACTTCTCCAATAATTTGAGATTACCTCAGCACTCCCCCTCCCGAGCTACAGCTTTGTTTCACACTGACTCTGATTAACACTGCTCTGAAAAACTATGGTATTTATGTTAGTAGGACTTTGTTATTAAGATGTTTTTCACTTGATTTAGTAAATGGTCATGGTTTAAGCATGGAGAGCAGCCAACTGATTGTTAAATCGTCTTTAGATTTCAAAGGTCTTTTCACTGCAGTCAAGGTTGTCCTATTTCCCTTTTGTCCTCCGCATGCCGTTCACAAGTAAAGAAATGCACAGTGCAGATTCTAGAGCAAATCATTTTCAGGGTTATGTAAGACTTGGACAATGGAAAGGACTGTGTCCACCGAGCCCTGACCAATATCCTTCCGTCCACCAGCTTCCTGACTAATGCCTTGTGAGTTGTTTATGAAGGCAATATTTGAGTTTTGTTTATTAAGACTTTTTCATGCTGACACTTTGCTAGTTTTTTTTTTTTTTTTCTGTGTGTGTGTGTCTGTGTGTGACACACATATATATATATATTTATTTCCCTAATGTCATTTGTTGTTTCCCGACATTATGTGTAAGCACTACCATTTTAATACAAGTAGTCATGTAACCAAAACATTTGGTAACATTGTAACAGCTGTGTTGCACTGTTTATACAGGCTTTGACCTGCCTCATGAAAATGCTATAAGCTTGTATGTCATTGAAAATAAATCATCTTGTATTAATCCAAAAATCAAAACTATGTCAGATATTTGGTGTAGAACAGGAATTATTAGTGTTATCACAGTTGTAAAAATGTTTTTTTTTAATTCTGCCGTTATCCTAAGCTGAACTGACCCCTCGTGTACATCTACTCAAATGTAGAATCTCTTCTTCCTCCAGCTGTACGTCTCGTCAGAAAGCCGTTTCAACACACTGGCGGAGCTGGTGCACCACCATTCCACCGTGGCCGACGGCCTCATCACCACGCTGCACTACCCGGCGCCGAAACGCAACAAGCCCACCATCTACGGAGTTTCTCCCAACTACGATAAGTGGGAGATGGAGCGCACAGACATTACCATGAAGCACAAGCTGGGAGGGGGCCAGTACGGGGAGGTATACGAGGGTGTTTGGAAGAAATACAACCTCACTGTGGCTGTCAAGACACTAAAGGTAAGAAGACTGCTTGAAAAAGAGTGGCCTGTGCGATAAGGACATTTTGACACCTACCGACGTCACACATTTAACACTTTAGGTCTTTTATTTGGCTGAATAATGCTACCATCTGCTGTTATATGAATGCAACTGCAACCAGCTCTGGTTTTGCTCACTTTGTTTTGCTGATAATTGTCCAGGAGGACACGATGGAGGTGGAGGAGTTTCTCAAGGAGGCCGCTGTTATGAAAGAGATCAAACACCCGAATCTGGTACAACTGTTAGGTATGTATTTTAAAAGAGCCCTTGTTTTGTTAGTATCACTTCTCTGAAATTCATCTATCTTGAACAGGACAAAAAAATATATTGATCAAACATATAAACTCTTCTTAATACAGGATTTATTTTGGCAGTCTTTGCAGATGTACTCATGTTTGCAGGTTAAATAGTTTTTATCCTAGTGTAGCAGCATTCAAGCAGTTTTTAAGATTTTTTCTGCATAAAAGCTAATAAATGTAACATACAAACACAAGTTATTTAGTGAGTATTGATGCGTTCTGTTTCACAAACTTGTTTCTTTTGCAGGCGTGTGCACACGGGAGCCACCGTTCTACATTATCACAGAGTTTATGACCCACGGTAATCTACTAGACTACCTGAGGGAGTGCAACAGAGAGGAGGTCAATGCAGTAGTGCTGCTCCACATGGCCACACAGATCTCCTCTGCCATGGAGTACCTGGAGAAAAAAAACTTTATACACAGGTGGGTGTAAAAAGCTTACACTTCCTTTTTAACACGTACATTTAATGGGAGAGATTGGACAGAATTTATTGTCAAAGGTTTGTCAGGCAGCCTGATTGGGCTCTGGTCTCAGTCATAGCTGCAGGAGTGCTGGAGAAGAATGTTCTTTGTCCTTAAATTTCATTTTCTCTTTTCTTTGCATTCCTGAGCTTCTCTCTCACCCTCCCATCTGTTCTCACAGTAGGACAGACTTGTATCACAGACAAGTCGGTGTTGTAACACAGCTCGTTTGTTCTGGCATGTTTAACAAGGCCCTTTTAGAAGGGATGAGATGATTAATGTCTTTCACATTTGCCAAAATGTATTTTAATTTTTAAACCTGACAAGACTCAGCTTGCGACTCTGCTCTACACAAAACATCTGTAGAAATTCAACACTGAAGTGGATGTTGTAACAAGAAACACTATTAATCTTTGTTTTTCTTATTTTCTCTTTACTTCTTACTAACGGAAGTGTATTCAAGTCAGCTTATACATTTTTTGGAGTATTTTACTGTGTACTGAATCTGATTGTAGAGCGTCAGGATTCCACTATGGCTTCCTGTTCGTCACTTATTCTCTCCTCTATGTTGTCTCCTGCAGGGACTTAGCTGCCCGTAACTGTCTAGTCAGGGAGAACCACCTGGTGAAGGTTGCAGACTTCGGCTTAAGCAGGCTAATGACTGGAGACACCTACACAGCTCATGCTGGGGCAAAGTTCCCCATCAAGTGGACCGCTCCAGAGAGTCTGGCCTACAACAAGTTCTCCATTAAGTCTGATGTCTGGGGTAAGTTTGATTCATTCAGTGTTTTTTTTTTTTCTTTCAGGTCCCTATTCACCAAGTGGAAACAATTTCACTCATTATACTATTACACTCCCACCATGACTTTATGTTCCAGTCATTAAGTTCTTGACATGTTTCTGTTGGTCGTACTGAGTAACACCACTTAACCGTCTCATGCCTTCATCTCCAGCATTTGGCGTGTTGCTGTGGGAGATCGCCACCTACGGCATGTCCCCCTACCCCGGCATTGACCTGTCCCAAGTGTACGAGCTGCTGGAGAAAGACTACCGTATGGACCGACCAGAGGGCTGCCCCGAGAAGGTCTACGAGCTGATGAGGGCCTGTAAGTAGCAAAACTCCTCTATCCAGAATTTGATTAAAGGTACTCTATGCAATTGGAAGAATTAAAAAAAAAAAACTATTTTGTTGTCTTCCTGTCAGGTTGGAGGTGGAACCCTTCAGAACGTCCATCTTTTGCTGAAACACACCAAGCCTTTGAAACCATGTTCCAGGAGTCCAGCATCTCTGATGGTCAGTGCTGCTGCCTTTTTCACCTTTACCTGTGGGTGGGTTTGTTTGATGCGTTTTATTGTCTTTGCTCTTGTGAAGCACTTTGTAACATACTTTTGAAAAGTGCTCAATAAAATTATTATTATTAAGATGGGGAAAGTCATGTTTTGACACTTGTTAAATCTGGACTGATTTGTCTTTAGAGGTGGAAAAGGAGCTGGGCAAGAAAGGGAAGAAGGCAACATTGGGATCCATCCAGCAGGCTCCAGAGCTGCCCACCAAAACCAGAACTCTCCGCAAAAACATGGACAACCGGGATGGAGATAGTCCAGGTGAGACGCACCACCTGCCCTTGTTGCTACAACTTTTTGTAAAATCCATCACAATTGTTCTTCTTCAAGGAATATGTGAAATGATGAGTGTAATTATTACTGAAATTCATATTAAAATACTACTAAATGCTCTATGAAGACTTGAATCTTGAATCTTGTGAATCTTGATACTAAAAGATAAAGATGTTTGAGCAAAATTCGGATGGTGCTTTGCAAAAGTTACTATCTTGTTGTCTTATTTCCTAAGTCCTGCTAAGGCAGTCTGAGCCTTTAACACCGTCTGTGATCAAGTGCAGTCTGAGATCTTTGAGATCTTTGGCTGTAACCACAGAGCTAAGTGCCAGGTTGCTCCCACAGGTTCCTTTTGGCTCTTGGAGCGTGTGCCAACTCTGTCTTTCTTACACCCACTCACCTTTCTTAAACTACCCCCCTGTCTATCAAAGTAAATGGTAATTATAGTTTTATATTTAGTGAAAGTATTTTATTCTTGTTTTGGGCTCTTCCTCAGACCCAGTGGAGCTGGAGGCAGCTGTGTCGTCACCCATGCTGCCCAGGAAAGAGCGTCCCCTCCTAGACAGCAACCTGAATGAGGATGACCGCTTGCTACCCAAAGACAAGACACGTGGCAGTGGCTTTCTCAGTCTCATCAAGAAAAAGAAAAAGAATGCACCCGCTCCACCCAAACGCAGCTCTTCTTTCAGAGAGATGGATGTCCACCCTGACAGGAGGGGCCTGACTCCAGATCCTCGGGACAGTGACAGCTTCAACAATGGGGCCTCTTTGGCCATTAATGATGTCACACATAGCCAAGACTCCACCAAATTCCCGGGTACTAACAATAATGGGGCAGGGGGTATCACCAACGGGGCTCCTACCTACCCAGGACCTTTGTTTCCCAGGAAGAAGGGAACTCCAGCAGTGCCTGGCCCTGGAGGAAAAGCAGCTACAACACCGCCAAGTGAGGAGGAATCCATGTCTAACTCGAAGCGTTTTCTCTGGTCCTCTAGCATGCCCGCTGGCTCAGATGGCACTGAATGGAAGTCTGTCACACTGCCGCGAGACCTCGGCCAGCGCCACTTTGACTCAGGCACCTTTGGGGGCAAACCAGCTCTGCCTCGCAAGAGAACCAGCGAGCAAAAAGGGGAGAATGCCCCTCGAAAGGGCACCCTGACTCCCCCGCCACGTCTGAACACCTTATCAGATATTTCTTCTGCCTTCTCAGGCAAAGACACTGATCCCAGTCCTGGTTCCAGTCCCCAGGCATTAACACCTAAGGGGGTCAGGAGCCCAGGGTTGCCGGGGCTGGAGAACTCCAAGACCAGCGCTCTCCACGCTGAGCTACTCAAGCCCAATGTGTTCCCTGCTTTAGGGGCAGCTGGAGAAGAGTGCAGGGCCCGCAGAAACAAGCACACTGTGGACTCTTCGTCTGTCAGGGAAAGAGTAAAGTTACAGAAACCCAAGCCAGCCCCACCTCCACCACCAACCAACTCGAAAGCGGGCAGGATTTCCCGAAGCCCCACTCAAGAACTGCCCTCCCCCCCATCCACCACCTCAGACATCAAAGCTAAGGGCCTCCCCTCTGTCTCAGAGCCCCACCACTCAACCACTGCCAGTGACCAAGCCCGCTCACCCCTCAGTGAGGGCTCCAAAAAGCTGCCCCTGGGCTCCACTTCCAAACCTCAACCGTTAAAGACCTCCAACTCCTCCACATCAGTGACCACCTCCCTATCCAGCCAGAGCCTAGGAGGCTTCTCTTCCTCCCTCACCTCCCCCAGTGATCAGAGCTTGCCCACCGCTTTCATCCCCTTAGTGAACACCCGGCGCTCCCTCCGCAAGACTGCACCCCGCCAGGGTTCCGAGCGCACTCCCAACTCAGCCGTGACGCGTGAGATGGTGCTGGAAGGCAGCGAGCTGCTCCGCGCAGCTATTTGCCGCAACTCGGAGCAGACTGGTAGCCACAGCGCTGTGCTGGAGGCCGGCAAGAACCTGTCGAAGTACTGCATGAGCTACGTCGACTCCATACAGCAGATGAGGAACAAGTTTGCCTTCCGCGAGGCCATCAACAAGCTTGAGAACAGCCTGCGTGAGCTGCAGATCTGCCCCACAGCCACAGGGGGTGCCAATGCACAGCAGGACTTCAGCAAGCTGCTATCCTCTGTCAAAGAGATCAGTGACATTGTTCAGAGGTAGCGCTATAAAATATTAAAACTACCATGATATAAAACTGATGTGAACTGTATCTTACACTACCTTTTTTTTCTGAGCATGCGCTGTGTTCCATGCCAAGCTCATGTTGAGGGTAAAGCCTGCATGAGAGCAGCAACAGAGTGTAGGTTTCACCCTACAGTACACTTAAACCTGTGGTTACAGTGAATCGAATCAAAGGAATCTCTCTGTAGATGTCTTCAGACAGTTTGCAATATTGAAAAGCCTTAACCATGAATGAACAATGTCTTTTGGCCTTAATGAGAGGCGTGGGGCCAATTCTTTATCGACATGACTTTTCACCAATCATTTTTGAAATGATCATGTCATATGTATTCTAGTTGTTTTCCCCGTTTTTCAGTGACACTAATAGAGAAGAGGCCTGTGATATGTTTCCATCACTGCTAGTGTTTCAGTTTCCATCTATGCCGACGGTGAGCAAAAACAAAACACTTAACCTCATCTTGTTCTAGGATGCCTTCTAACACTTAAACGACTAATGTCGTTGTTTCCATTTTCACCTGTAAGCATTAGGGAGCATCTGGAATCACAGTGTTAATAACCTGATGCCTCTAACAAACATCCCAACATTTTCCATTACTTTGTACCATGTCATCAGTGATTGGTTGTGTGTCGAGTGATGAAAGCACGTCAGTGTTTGTTCTTTTGCAGTATTTGCAACCATAAAGTAATAACGGGAGCAAGCAAACGAGGCAGGATGAGCCTCTGGCCTTCACCTTTTTGCTTCACTATACACTTTGGTAACAAATGGTGCCTTAAACACTATTGGCAGAGCTGTTTAAGATTTGCCACAAGTGCAGAAATGTGGCTTTTGCTGACTTGTGCCAAGTGGGCAGGAATAGCTGTGTTGATTTGTTCATTGGATTTAAATGTTCGATTGCCATACCAAAAACCTTGGTCTCCAGTCTGTACTGGAGAGGGACCACGGTGAACGATCTCCGACTCAGTGGATCTGACTGTTTTATGTGCCCTTAAACTGGGATTTTTTAAAAATATACAAGGTTGATTCAAGTTTCTATAAAAGCCAGTCCCAAAAGCCATCTATTGCACCTCAGCCTCCTTGCAGCAGCAACCTGATGGAGGGCTTGTCACATGGTCTAAATGCTTTCCTACCCCAGCAAAAAACACAATGTATATCCTGGGGGAAACACTGGACTGAAATGTTTATGGATCTGTCACTTGCTGTCATACAAATGTAAGTTTTAGACTAAAATAACCCGAGATTACAATACCATATGTTCCTTTATTCTTGTCTGCAACTCTTGGACATGTTCAGTATTTGTGCTGTAGTTGCCTCACTGATGTGCCCTGTCTGACTGCGATGCCTTAGGACACAAGTCAACCGTAAGCTGCCTTGACTTCAACATGGTACTGTCAGTGTTGGCTTTTTTTTTTTTTTAATTCCTACCCTTTACCAACCATACCACTACTCTACTCTATTTTGTGTCTAAGCCTCCTCACAAATTTTTGCTTTCCTTTGTAAATATGTTTTTTCCTATTTGTTTCTCCCTCTAGCCTTGGTGCAATTTTTGTTGCAATAAAATACAAAGCAGTTTTGCTACTTGAAATACATTGAGTCTGCTTTTTCCACACAAGATCCTTTTCCTCAAAACAGCTGCAGTAATATCCAACCTGAGCAACTTCCATCCCGGCTGTTTATTAAAACATGTTTCTATAGAAATGACAATAGACACAGCAACAGGTTATGTATAATTTATTTTTTCTGTCTAGAGTATTTGTCATTAAAATCAAAATGTCAACATTTTAAAATCATATACACTCGAACGCATTTAAATGTTAGCACAGCTCCTTAAAAATTTATACATATGTACTTTTTTTTTTTGTACTTGTGGACAGACAAAAGCAGGAAGTGGTCACTCAGACTGCAAACAGGTGGGACAGGAAAAAGGAAACCCAGCCCACCAACTTCCCCCAACAACAAACCAATCCCTACTCCCCAAAAGTTAAGACAGCGATGGAGGCCCCTCCCATGAGGAAGAGTGACGATGGTTTGGAAAAAGAAAAACAGAATAAACATGAAAGTGCCCCATTCTCCACTCCATACAGAAATAAGAGGAATCAGAGTTTGCAGACAAATACTAATTTGCACATCATCTCAATCCACTTCCTCTCCCCTCAACCAATCGACAGGTTCAGTAGTGTGCAGATGGGGTAGTCGGGGAGGTCTGTGTCTGTCCTTTACATACATTTATTAATAGAAACTATGTTACAGAATTTCCCAAGCATGAATTACAGGCAACCCACTAGCACATCAACTGTACAGGTCTTGGCAGAGCCAGCAAATGTCTAAATCCCAAGTAGCAAGGTCATCACCAATAGTTAAGAAGCAATATATACAGCTGTCCAATCAGGGAATCACTAATGTACAGAAAATTTGTACTTGGAAAGAAAACAAACAATTGGATTTTGACTATTTCACTGTATTTTGGAGGGGAGGGGGGGTGGGCATGCTGCTTGGTGTTGTATTATACAAATGAAAAACAGATCAGCTCTAAAGTGCAGCACTTGAGATAAAGCAGTGTTGACTGGTTGTTTTTACATCTGAACAGATGAGATGTGGGCTTAAGACCATGCTGCTGATACAATGTCAAAATATTTCAAATGTTCAAGTGAGCCACCACTTGTTTAATTTTACATTCTCCAGTAAAATGCAATAATTATTCTAAAAGTTGATTTACTGAATTGGTGTCCAACAGCAGTGTGAAATCAAGTGCAGCAAAACAAAGATTAAAGAGGAATACCAGTAATTAGAGTAAGGCAACAAACAATAACAAAGAAAAGCTGGAAAAGACAATTTGTTGATATAACCAGGGGGAGATTTTTGGGTGGGTCAGGAGAGAGAGCTGGTGCAAAGAAACTGATGTGAATGAATGAAGTGTCATAACTCTCAAAACTCCCATCCAACTTCCTAGAAAGAGTACGGAGGAAATTGACCTCAAGGAATTTGTGGGTAATCCCTGGTTTTCTTAATGTTTCCCCCTCTCTCCTCAGAACATCAGTGTTGCCACATCTGGCAAAGGATCTCGCTTTGTGCCGAGCAGCAGAAACAGAATTAAAAGCCACGAGCAGGTTTGAATCCTGCTGAGGAAAAAAAAAAATAAAAAACCCCTCCCTCAGCTACACATTCTTTGACACACACTTGAGAACCTCTACCTGTGCGGATGCATGATACACTAATCCATTGCCTTCACTGTCCGATTGCACACAAATCAGCTGCGAGTGAGATGTCACACCCACATATCGATAAAATGTAGGATTGTTAAACCATGCAGAAGAGGCGCCAGGAGTTTTATAATTTAGATCTGATTCATACAGAACTGATGGTGAGTGAACCTTAATGCAGTGTTTACATGTCATAGCTATAAAACCAAACAAAAGAACAGTCTCGGTTTATCATTATCGTATGAACGTTACATCTATCTAAAGTGTCAGTAACCCGTGTAATGCGTGGTGGTGTCTACAATACTATGATGGGGGGGGGGGGGGGGGCTAGACTGATTGGTGCACAAAGAGCAGGGGGAAGCAAAAGAGAGTTATGGGACGACAACACACTGACAGAGTTTAAAGAGGTGGAGTGAGACAGCAACAAAAGGGAGACAGACAGGCAGATAGGAAGAATAGGAGGGGTAAGATGTAGTCCACACAGCCCAACTCTGTCTGGCCCAAGTCGATATCCGTCCCCCGTTCCTTCCCTCCACAGCCCTGCTCTCATGGAGCTCCTGGTGCAGTGTAGGATGAGGGTGGATGGATGTACAGAGGTGGAGGAATGGATGGAGGGGGGATGGTTGAGGGAGGGTGGGAAGGACAGACGGGGAGAGAGAGAGAGAGAAAGGGAGGACAAAGGGAGTTTTGCTTGGTCATTAGCAGCCGCAGCCTTCCCTCTGGGGCTGTGGTTCGCTGGTTAGCCGGCCACCCTGAGGGGCTGACGGCTTGTGCTGGACCCCCGACTCTGCGGCGTTCAGGTCCAGGCTGCCATCTTGGATGTTCTGGTAGATCTTCTTAGCGGCTTCCAGGAAGGCGTCCTCAACGTTTTCACCTCTGAACAGCACAAATGTGAGAAAGGAGGTGATTAGGAGCTGAAGAATGTAAGCAAAGCCATATTTCATATTCTGCAGTCACTGAAATGGCTGAAGTTGTGCAGACTTACGTTTTTGCACTCGCTTCCAGAAACAACAGACCTTCAGAACATAAACCAGACACAATGACAGAGTCAGTAAAACATTGTTACAAGCTCACATACCTCAAATGCAATGTTTTCATTTGTCCCCCCCTCTTTCAATTAATACCTAAGCTCACTTAACCTTTCGTTGTGTCACCTCGTAGTTTGTCTCAGCAATATAACTATAAAAGGATATTAATCTTCACTTTTGTCTCTTGAAACCAAACATAATGGCTTCTACTAAAAACATTCTGAAAAGACTACACAGTCTAAATCTCATTTTAATTCTAAATATTTGGACATTTTGTTGGGACTCCTGTGATTGTTTTGTTGAAACTGAGGACGGAGCGGTCACAGTTTTGGAAGATGTCTTTGCAGATAGAGTTAGAGTGTTCTGATTACTTAATCAAATCAGGGAAACCACTTCCTCTACCTAATACCCTCTTTCCTGTCTGCCCAACATGCGGGGTCTGGCTCACCGTTCTCCTCAGCAAACTGCTTCGCTTCCTCGTACGTGACGTCCCTCTGGGCCTCCAGGTCTGCTTTGTTTCCTATGAGAATGATCACCTGAGAATACAGGGACAGGAACACGAGTGTGAGACAATCCTCTAGACGGCGCCATCTTTTTTACAATCCTCTTAGCCAAGAGCTAAGAAAGCCGAAGGCAGTATAGGAAGACTGTTCCTGGAGCAGTTGTTATACTGTTGAGTTGTCTGTTATAGAGATCGATTGAGAGATACAGTGAGGAACTGACATGAGCACACTAGACAGTTCCCCTTGGCAACTGTGATGTAATTAGACCTGTAATGTACTGATGAAATGCAATGACCTTTCTTGTTGTGGCAGTGACAGACACATCTGGGACTGCAGCATGTTCAGCATTTACCAATCATGTTTTTTCACCTATTTTTTTTGTTGGATTTGTCACAATGATCCTCACTGTATCAGCAAATAATGATTACCAGGTGTAGTGCTATGGCAGGGAGTTTCAAACGTCTTTGGGATGAGAAAAGTGCACTATAGTCATAGGCACACATGTAAGGAGTCTTATATAACTCTTATTTTCATTCAGATGGCATCAAATGATCAGATAATGTGTTCATTATGTTT